ATGTCACCTCACAGATAATGGAGGCGAGTATACTTCCAAAGAGTTTGATGCCTATTGCAAGACATACGGCATTCGACATGAGAAAACGGTCCCACGTACCCCACAACATAATGGAGTCGCCAAAAGGATGAATCGGACGATCATCGAAAAGGTCAGAAGCATGATAAGTATGGCTAAACTGCCAAAGCCATTTTGGTGAGAAGCTGCTCGAACCGCCTGCTACTTGATCAACAGATCACCATCAGTACCGTTGAATTTTTAAATTTAGGTGGAAGTTATGGTCTGGTAAATATCCCTCCTACTCTCGCCTGAGAGTATTTGGTTGTTTAGCCTTTGCACATGTATCCAATGAGCTAAGACAAAAGCTAGATGTAAAAACCACTCCAGTATCTTTATAGGCTATGGAGATAAGGAATTTGAATGCAGATTATGGGACCCAAAGACAAAGAAGGTCATCAGAAGCAAGGACGTAGTGTTTCATGAAAACCAAACATTAGAAGACATTGAAAAGCCCACAATAACTCCTAATTCTAATTTTGGTGCCCAAAATATTGCTACAGATCCAACACCAACACAATTCACCATAGATAACGATGATGTACATGAGGAAATGCCTGAAGCAGAACAAGAGGATGAAGAAGGGGATATTGGTCAGGGGGAGTCACAATCCTCTTCATCAGAAGTTGTTGGACCATCACATCAGCCAGATGATGATGCACCTCCTGAAATCAACGATCCACAGGTAAGAAGATCAGAACGAGGACGGATTCCATCAACGAGATATCTAGAATCAGAGTACATTTTGCTCACTGACGAAGGAGAACCAGAGAGCTTTCAGGAAGCACAAACTCATGTAAACAAAGACAAGTGGATACAAGCAATGCAGGATGAGATGGAGTCACTGCAGAAAAATCAAACATATGAATTAGTTGAGCTTCCGAAGGGAAAGAAGACATTAAGGAATAAATGGGTTTTCAAGCTCAAGAAAGATGGCAGCAGAAAGGTGGTAAAACATAAAGCCCGTTTGGTAGTCAAAGAATTTCTTCAGAAGAAGGGAGTTGACTTTGATGAGATTTTTTCACCTGTTGTAAAAATGGTCTCAATTCGAGTTATCCTTGGATTAGTAGCCAGTCTGAATCTAGAGCTTGAACAGATGGATGTCAAAACAGTATTTCTTCATGGTGATTTATATGAAGAAATTTATATGGAGCAGCCAGAAGGTTTTAAAGTTTCAGGGAAAGAAAACTTCGTTTACAAGCTGAAGAAGAGCTTATATGGTTTTAAGCAAGCACCCAGGCAGTGGTACAAAAAGTTTGACTCTTTTATGGTGACTCAAGGCTATAAAAGAATAGCTGCGGATCAGTGTGTTTATATTCAACACTTTTCGGATGGCAATTTTGTTGCTCTTCTATTGTACGTAGACGTCATGCTGATCATCAGACAAGATGCAACAAAAATCAGGCAGCTAAAGAAGGAACTCTCCAAGTTCTTCGACATGAAGGACTTAGGCCCAGCTCAACAGATTTTGGGAATGCACATAACTCGAGATAGGAATAATAAAAGGTTGTAGCTATCCCAAGAGAAGTATGTTGAACGAGTGATCAAGAGATTCAACATGCATAATGCCAAACCTGTCAACACTCCATTGTCTAACCACTTCAAGTTGAGCAAAAATTCATGCCCCTCATCCAAGAAAGAGATAGAGGAAATGTCATTGATACCTTATTTTTCAGCAGCTGGAAGCCTGATGTATGCCATGGTATGTACAAGGCTAGATATTGCCCATGCAGTAGGCATGGTGAGTCGTTTTCTTTCTAATCATGGAAAGGAATATTGGGAGGCAGTTAAGTGGATTCTCAGGTACCTCAGAGGTACATCAAAGATATGTCTGTGCTACGGGGGAGTTGATCCAATCTTGGAAGGTTTTACAGATTCAGATATAGTGGGAGATCTTGACAGTAGAAAATCTACATCAGGATTTCTCTACTCTTTTGTAGGGGGAGCTGTTTCATAGCAGTCAAGACTACAAAAGTGTGTTGCTTTATCTACAACAGAAGCAGAATATATTGCAGCGATAGAAGCAGGTAAAGAAATGTTGTGGTTAAAGCGATTTCTCCAAGAACTAGGGATCAAGCAGAAAGATTATAAAGTACATTGTGACAGCCAGAGTGCTCTTGACTTGAGTAAGAACTCAATGTATCACTCTCGAACAAAGCACATTGACACTCGCTATCATTGGATAAGAGAAGTGTTGGATCAACAGCTGTTGAGACTAGTAAAGATTCACACAAATGAGAATCCAATAAATATGTTAACAAAGGTGGTTCTAAGGGAGAAGCTAGAGCTATGCAGAGACATAGTTGGGTTGGTTGTCAGATAGCAGTTGATTCAAATGCGACTGGAGGGAGAGAATTGATGTGTTCCAGCCGCATATTAATCAAGTTTCTTCTAGCTTCTTCCAGTCGAAATTGTTGAATTTCATTTTCTTAATGTACAAGAATCCACATGCATGGATGAAGAAGAAAATTTGAATTAAAACTCTCCACCTTTTGACGGCCACAACTTCAATTGCTTAATGGAGAAGAAATCTATGCAAGAAGACAATTTGAAATGAAATTCTCTAGCCGCAATTCTTGATTGGTTTTTGGCCACAAGTTTATGATGGTTTGTAGCCAAGATTTTTCTATAAATATGAGCTATCATAAAGAGAATTATAATGTCACTTGAGAGGAAGAAAAATAGGATAGAGAAGAGAGAAAAAAGAGAGAGATTAGAGAGACTCTTTTGAGAGTTTTTTTTTTAGTTTGTAAACTCCGTTGTAAATTCTATTCAAGTAGAAATAGAATTGTTTTTCCTCTTTTATTCTCTTCTCGTGATCGGAGAATCACAACAATTGTTGGGCATGCTTTGGGGTGGAGGGTTATGGGTGGGGGCTTATGTGTATTGTTTGGTAAGTCACGTCTGGTGGAGTGATTGCAGCTTTTTTCTTTTATTAGTGATAAGAGTGAATATATTTGATGGTTATCATTTTACTCGCTACATTGTAGTAATTTTGGAATGAAAAAAGTGGAAATGTAAAATTAGAATATTAATTTAAAATGTAGTGACTAGTGTAATTTCCACAAATATAAAATCCTAGAAGAGGTTTGGTGCCTAAAATGTTGAAAATTGAATTATTTCAATAAATTATATAACTATGAGAAAGAAATAGATTAAAAAATTAAAAAAAATGTTGACAATATTTTTGCACATAACGTACCGCTTCATATTATGAATAGTGCCCTACGGCATTTTCTCGATCAAGATGAGGTATAGTGACGTCCAGGCCACTAGTTATGTGATAAATTGGAGCAATGTAAATTCATATTTGATTACTTGTTCCTTAGTAGTTGGATCTCTCACCAATCCAGTTTTGTCTCTTCCGCCCTTCATTCGACTTGGGCATCTGGTCGATACCAGCAAAAACATCTCTAGAGGATATCAAAATAATGCAAATCTATCAAATAAATAATTAGCCAAATTAAAGGACGCAATCCTAATAAAATTGAATTTATTAGAGAAATTTAAAGTTTTTAAACCTGCAGTTTGAAAATATAAAGGTGTATATTTATGCGAAAAATGAAGTCGTAATTTATAATCCACGAATCTCAATATAGTGAATTTCATAGAGATCGTGATGGATGCAATCACAAGTATATATCTCATTATATTGACAATGCATGGAATTTTGAAATGTGATTATAGCCAATTCATTTGGTATAACTATTATTATTATTCTTGAAAGATTTAATGTGTTTGAAGCATATAATTCAAGTAATGTTATCATGAGAGGGAGTACATATGCTTCATACTCTTTTTCCAAGATTTTTTCCAATTTTCTAGACAAAGTTTTTAATGAGACAATTTTTATGACGTATTCAAAGGAATAACGTACTTTTTTTTCCTTCATTAGGATTTTATGCATGAGATTTTTTCTAATAAGGTTTTAACAAAGTATATTCTTTGTGTAATAATGTCCATAACCCACAAAACATTCACCGTCAAAATAATCCTTTTATATGTTAAAAATTGTGTACGACTCACGAAGAGATCAACATAATCTATTTTCAACAAATCATCATATGACTAAAGACAACAAAGATTGATAAATTTTATCTATGAATACGATATTGCTTGAAGGCTATAAACAAGATAACAGGAAACATGATTCCCCATAATTGTAATATTGAAGGCATTGATGTTCAAGACATGGATGTTTCGAGACGAGAATTTTCATTGATTGAAATCAAGGGTGCAGTTGTACTCTGTTTCTTTAGTTCAGTTTTGTCTCATTGATGAGTTTTCTGGACAATGTTTTAATGAGGCATATATTTTGTAATGTGTCATTTAAGAAAAATATGTAAATTATGTGTTTATTAGCAACTGATCATTATACTCCTACAACCCTAGTTATTATGACGATTGTGTCCCTTGCCACCTTATTTCTTCCTTATAAGTATGTGATTTTGGTTATCTATTGAATATACCCAAGTTTATTGACTTTTCTACTTTCTTTTCTCTCTCTCTCTATTCTATAACAATTGTATAATTATTGAAATTGTTAAGTATTAAATGATTATACAATTTAAAAAATAAAACAATTCCTTTACATTTGTATTCTGTATGTTTTTGAGAAAAATGAAAGAACCGACCAGATTTTAGAGCAGAATAAGTAATTATCTTGTTTAATTATAAATACTCTAACGTATTAATTGAATAATTTAATTTACTTAAATTAATATTAATAAATTTGTAATTTTGCATTATACATAGAAAATCAAATATTTGGGTAGGGACATGGATCTTGAGATTTACAAGCAAGATGGTATTTTTATAGTCTAAAACAAAGTCATCCTTCTAAGGGAATGAACTCATACTTTGAGGAAAATAATAGAAAGATCAATTTCTAAAGAAAAAGGAAAAATCATTAAATTAAAATGAATGTTATTATACTGAAAAGATAAACAAAAATTACACCATCAATACATAGTATGCTGTTAGTTTTGAAAGTGTACTCTAAATATCAATGTGATTCTTTTACAACAAACCAGAACAAGAAAAAATACCTAGTATTTCCACACAGCTCTTCGCTACTCGAATTTAAATTACAAATTTACATGATACCAATTCCATCGAAAAGATGTAGTTGCAAACAAATAATGTCACGACTCAATAAGACACTGTATCTCTTGTGATTTCGTGAGGATCGGTGGTATATGAAGAAAAACCTGCATCTGTTCGTATTGTCATTGAATTTTGAGTTTGGCTTCCACTAGAACTTCCATTTTGCATCTCTCGATGGAAGTCTTTCATGGCTTTAAACCTCATATCATCTGTATACATACTTCCTTCTGGGATGACATCTGGAATTGCCATTTTTCCTTCAAGCATTTGAACTACTTCGGACATTGTAGGCCTTATGGATGGTGTTACGTTCGTACACAGAAGCGCTATTTTCACCATTCTTCCTACTTCGTCTTTGTTCACTCGAGAACCCAACCTCGGATCAACAAGTTCGTCTACATTTTTACTTTCTTGCAAGTGAGAAGCCTGCAATATAATTATGTTGTAGTGAAACAGTGTGCAAGAATTTTGTATGTTATCATGCAAATGTGGTACAGAATATGGAAGTACGATGAAATGATGAAGCAAAGGATGTTTTTAGTACCCAATCCAAAAGGCAAATAAAATTGTGGCTTGGCATGTAATTATTGTTGCTTTTGCCACTAACAATTTCCAAAGCCACAACTCCGAAGCTATAAACGTCCGCTTTGTCAGTTAGATATCCCCAAAGTGCATATTCAGGTGCCATATATCCTCTGCAATCAAGACGAGAAATACCTAATTGTGGTGAGAAATACGAGTATATTTCAAGGCAAAACATAGATAGGGCAGTTGATCAATATTTGTATAAACGGGTTGAACTCACATTGTTCCAGCAACTTTAGTGCTAATATGAGTCTTCTCGTCTTCGTTAAGCCTGGCCAATCCAAAATCCGATATTTTCGGGTTTAGATCTCCATCTAGCAACACATTAGTGGCTTTAATGTCTCGGTGAACTATTTTAAGTCTTGACTCGTCGTGAAGAAAAGCTAATCCTCGAGCAATTCCAATACAGATCTTGAACCTTGTTGGCCAATCAAGCATTAATTCGCTTTCCTCTGAATCTGAACGTTCTTCAAAACCAGAACAATACCAGATATTGTTATTGGGAGTAATTGAAAATGCAAACGAATATGTACTGAATAAGCAAACACTTACTGAATAAAACATGAGCAAGGCTATTATTTTCCATGTACTCGTACACTACCAGCAATTGATCTCCTTCAATACAGCATCCATACAGTTTGACGAGATTTGGGTGTTGTAAACACGAAATCATGCCAATCTCGTTCAGAAATTCACGGTTTCCTTGCCTTGATCTAGATGAGAGCTGCTTCACAGCAATTACGGTACCATCATATAGTTGACCCTACACCAGTTAGCCAATCAGAAATATGAATGATGAAAATGAAGACGGAATTAATTATCTTTCACCAAAAACAATACCTTGTACACGGAACCAAAACCACCTTCTCCGATCTTGTTTCCAGCATCAAAGTTGTTAGTGGCAGCTTTAATTTGTTTCAAACTAAAAGCAACTGTTTGCAATTCTAGATCTTCAAAACCTGTCCCCGTAAAATAAAATAAAAAAAGGAAAATCATTAAGGTGGATGTCCCATGGTGTCAGCATAAGCCTTTGTTTTTTCATTTTTGCATTTTCGGATCAAACAAATATTCTAGAGGCACGGAAAATTTGAACCAAAAAAAACAAAGAATTTGCACTATAGCAGCTATAAAATATGGAAAAAATTCGTAGGAAAGGCCTAATGTACAAGAACTGAAATTGTTTATGACTCAACCGATCTTTTAAACTAAAACATTCAACTTGACCGATATGCACAAACTGAAATAACCATCTACAAATCTGCTTATGTTTACACAATCATAGACATCACCTGTTCTTGCTCGTTTTCTTCCTCCCAAATAGCCTTTCCACCAAAGGATGCCAAGTATCATGAAAATAGCAAATGCTGACAGAACTCCAACTATGATATAAGCAGTCACATTCTTTTTGCTTCCATTTGAACATATTTTGAAATCTGCATAGGAGAAAAATAGAAATTTGTGGAACAAAAATCATTTAAGTGAAAGGTATATCTAATTTTCTTTAAATTCATCTGATACTAGTAGGTGTTGCATTTTCCAACATTCATGCATCAAATAAGATATAGGCACCATGGCTACTATAAATAAACACAAACAGTTAAAAAAATTGTGCTAGTTACATTTTGGAGGTCAGGTCTTTCTAGTGTAATTTGAACTTTGGCTTATCTGATAAACATTCCATGAGTATCCATAAGTTTGTTATCGACAGCTTAAAGAATAAAGTCAACAAGTTCCCTGGGACATTTTCAGATACATTTAACGTATAAGACAGCTATACAATATAAATTCGATAACTTGGGGGGACATAGGATATATGAATACAGTTATGCCATTCAAATTGGCATATAGCACTTGAGCAGACAAGAGATGTATTAATGACCTTAGATCCTCTGCCACTTGTTTAATTATATTGAATTTAACTTGAAAATGGGGTTTAACTAAGAGGTCAGTTGTTAAAAAGGAAAGACGATCCAGTTTTTATTATGATAACTTTTGAGATTCAATTATAATCTTCACTTTTTAATACAAATTTTCTTTGTTATCATCATATCTAGGATTATATCTTGTGCAGAAGCCTGGGAAATCTAGCTGTGCACAATTTTCTAAAGCAAGCAGACACTATATAGCTGGTAGCCTCGTATAAATCTGAGAAGCATCCAGCTAATGAGAAGCAAGTTGAAGACCTTAGAAAAATTAATGAAGCACATTGAATAATTCCCCCTTTAAGAGAATAAGTTCTTGTAAAATGAATTAAATAATCATTAAGCCCTTGTTTGATTTTAATTTTTTCAAAGTCACTTTTTGTCAAGCTCATTTTCAACATACATTCTTCCAATAAAATAATTTTACATGTGTACTCAAAACTTTTCCATACTTTTTTACCACACATTCTCCCAAAAAAATCACTTCCCAAAAATAAAAATCAGACATGAGCCAAGTAAGAACTTTATATATATTTATTTCACCAACACCAGATGTATCTTTTTAGGAGGTTGAGCACACGAACTTTCATAAATGGAGAGCAATGAGATTTAATCCCAAAACCTTTACTACTTTTGTATCATATTGAATGAGCACCTACATCTAAAAGATTTAACAAACTAAACCAAGGTTAAACTTTTTTGACAGCACAGGATAACAAAAGTCAGAATTTAGCATATCTAGTTTCTTATACTACTTTAACTGCACAATCATAAAATAACAAGAAAACAAAGACAGGATTACAATAAGAAATTGTCAACTACTCACTTGGATTAACCGAAATAGCTGATACAAGGGAACCATAGTCTCCTCTATTAGGAATTCGTACAGTCCCTCTGCTAGCCCAGTAAAATCTGATCTCCAAGCTATTATCTGTCACCGTGACATTAAAATGTCTAGTCACGGGCTTTTGTGCTCCTCGAGCCTCATTTTCAATGTCAAAATCTTTCCAGACTAATTTTTCCTGAAATTGAAAGAGGATCGTGAAAACAATACAAGTGAACTGAAAAAACACTTTTTAAGTTTCATTCACAGACATACACACTACCTAGTTGTAGAAGAAAAAGAAATATGCAAACTACCTGGATGTATATATCAAACATCCGACTTCCAAGACTCAAATATGTATTGTCATTTGTGAAAAGTATTTCAGCAAAGTGCAGGCTCACATTGTAACTCCCGTCCTCCAGGCAATAATGAAAATATGTAAGTGAAAGAGGATTAAGACGTGCTGTACTATACAAATCAGAGAGATTTGGATTTGGCGTATGTATAATAGCACGTGAATTTTGGTAACTAGGCTCGTCCATGAAGTCCCCGGTGCCAATGAAGCCCCATTGACTACTACTCAAATATCTTGCAGAATCACCATACATATCTCCTTGATAAGTGACTCTTCGATTGCTTTCTTCTACAATCAAATCATTCCCACCACAATTAACATGTAGGGAACACTGATCTGCCACAAGAAAGATTTTTCTTGGTAAATTACGCAATTTCATGCAGGTTTAACAAAACAATGGCAACTGAAATTCTTATATAAACTGCCAATGAACAAAAAATCTTGTGTATGCATAATTGTAAAAGAGGTGAGTTCTCAAATTGCTAAACAAAATACTTGAAGGTCAATGACTTTACGGCCAAAACAAAAACTATGACGTATTTAAGGCTCGGCATAACTTTAGTATTTGGGACGAGATAAGAATCGTATGAGTGTGTGGCAAATCATAACCATTTTTTTAAGCTGATCAAACATACTTTTTATTGACCCATTGTGTAGGATTGACAATTTATTATCTTTATTATCAATACATTTCGTAAGACCACAACTTATATAAGAACTGAAAAGCACTGCCGTACAAGCACAAAGTTTATGGTGAGATGAAGATGTATCCCTGGTATATTGAGGTTACAAAGGGTAAAAGAGAAGAAAGAAAACTTCATTTTGATGATAAAATAAAGTATATCATTGCTAGAAAACCATGCATAATCTATATCAACAGTATTGAAGGTCACAAAAAAAACTAACTACACATAACATCAATGGCAATATGAAAGTCTACATAACCATATAAAGAAAAAGAGAACATACATACATCTAGGGCAGGCTACATCCTTTGAGCAAGGAAGCATCCGCCGCCTGTTGCTGGTTGAGTAAGAAACAATTAGAATAAGATGTTCATCATTTAGGTGATAAAACTCTTTTGTAATTGTAAATTGCTTTCTTTCCCATATTGGCCATTATATTTACTAAGATCAGAAACAAGAAAATGCATCTTACCTCATGTTTAAAGTCAACGAGCTCTTGAACAAGTTAACGTTTCGATTCCTACTTAAGAAAATTAGGCAGCCACAAAAGTTGTAAACATCTTAGAAATTGCATGATAACTAAATTATAAAGGAGGAAATAAATAAATTTGCTAACATGTTTTGTTGACAAGCAGGTTGCTCCGGGCCTTGCAAAGTAAAATTATTGTAAGAAAGATCACTGCACAGAGTGAATAAAGGTGGGTGTCATCATTAGATAATTCAAATTATACATGTAGACTAACAAGCATCTTTTAAGTTGTGAATGATGGCAACAAATGAAATTAGTTGGTCGATATATGCGGAAAGAGTAAACAGCTTAATCTTTTGCAGGGAGCTACTAAATAATTTAGAGAATAACTTTGCATCTACAGATAAAAGATAGATCATGTAGCAATGCTATAAAAACACATTCCCTTCCAAGCAAATTCTGTTGGCCTCTGAATTTGACTCGTTCACAATTAAGAAGGGAATACAGTTCAAATAAAAATGAACAAGCATCTAGGGATCAGTTACATGAATAGTTATTTTTCATTATGTTCGACCCAATGCTATGACTACTGAAATGTCCATTGACAATAAATAAATAAAATTCCAACCTCGTCAAGCCATATTAATTCTAGTTTGACTTTCACTTTTGTAACATGTTCTAGGTTCTAAAACTATTTATATAAACCATTAGGGAGAGAGATCATTAACCATTAACATGACTTCTTTATATCCATGCAAGAACTGACCCAGTCACTTGAGTCGTACTTGCCTCAATGTACCTCAACTTGCAACACCTCTATTTGTTCGCGTATATCATCATTTTTTATTTTATTGTATAGTATGGCTACACGTCTATCTTAACATCTTCATTTCTGTTGCATTCATCTTATTGAAATGTTGTCCATTAACAGTCCAACACTTGGTTCGACATAGCATAAATTGTCTAGCAACCATTTTTTCAAGCTTACCATTTAATAAGATCTCATGAAACCCATGTTAATTTTCTTGATTAGTTAAATTCACTCTTGCCCTACGCATTACATTCTCCTCAAATACTTTTTTACTTTTGGAAATTCATTATTCTCCAGAGTTTCTAGTGAAATCATTACTCTTACTGTGATTAAAGAAGATTGCACATGCTTGTTAATTCTACTTAATCCAACACCTAAATTCCAAAATGCTACTCCAAGGTTTTATTATTTTCAATTTATTCCCCTTTTAGTTTCATCAACTTAACTTATATCACGTATCAGCCAAGATACTTAATATTTGATATGTCTCAGTAGTTCATTTATAACTTATAGCAAAAGGATAAGGACTCGTTGTGGTACCTTGATGCAAGTCTACTGCTTCCCTATTGGAAATCACATCCATGCTAAGTCATAAATATACTTGACAATTTTGATATATCAAATTTAAACTTCATTATTCTATATCACACACCACAATCAATAGGCTCTCTACTAGTAATCTAGAAATAGAAAGAAATTATATGCAGAATATCCAGCAAGTTCAATAACAAATAATGTACATACATGTTGGTTCCATCCTTCAAGATTGTATCAGGTATATTTCCACTCAGCATGTTGCCAGTAGCAAACCTGTTTACAAAAAATATCATAGTGAGTATGCAAGTAGTGGGTAAGGCAGTGTCCTGTTTTAACTCACATTTACTGTAAAACTGCAGACACTGACTGGCAATACCAACCAAATGAAGCAAAAGAATTTAAGTTGGACTCACACAGTAATCAGTTTTCTTGCAATATCCCTTGAAATCTCCCCCTCTAACTTATTGAAACTGACATCCCTGTTCATAATTTACAATGAAGAGATAAATAAGAAAGGAGACATTCTATAAACATCTTATGTAGTCTGCAACTAACTATATGAAAGATAAAAGGAGAAGAAAGAACATAAAAACAAGGTCTTTTAGCATCCAGGGTAAGGTGGCATAGTAAATTAAATGAGCAGAACTCTAGCCAACCAGAATCATTCTCAGTAGAGAAGATTTACGAAACTAGTAGTCAAGACAGTTTCTGCGGAACGGGGCAACAGTACAGGTATTCAATGACCGAGCAATTAAAAGAAGCAAGAAGAAGGCCAGTAGCAGATCTGGTTATTTAAATATGCCAAAACAATTGTTGCCCATCATGTACCCAAGAGACAACCATACAATTACACAAACTAAGACGCTAATATTTATTTAAATTGAAGTTTAGTCACTCACAGCATTGTCAGAACTCTAAGTCTCCAAATATATGCAGGGACTATTCCAGAAATGTTACAATTTCTCAATACCCTAAATCAAAGAATAGAATAATTTAGTAATATAGAGAGCATGAAGGATAAACAAGAATACTTTCCATTTGAAATATTTATTCAGCATACAGGATTTCTAGGCCTGTACTACTCCTCAGCATAGGAAATTCCTGAGTAGGCCCTTTAATGTCACTAATTCTCCTGTATAGGGAAATTCACCCGTAACTCTTGTAAGCAGAGAACTTGCACTAAGAGAAAAATACAAAATATGTAAAGTAAAAATGAAAAGTCCAATCAATCCACGGAGTTGGTATACTTACAAATCAGTTAACATAGTCAGAAGAGATATTTGTGAAGGAATGGGCCCCTCTAATCCACTCGCATGCATTTCTCTTCATTGATCATTTAAACAGAGAATATATATATATATTGTGAATAAACAATCCATCTATTGAATCTTCAAAAAATAATTTTTTATACATAAATATCTTACAGTTTCGTAAGCTGCTTCCAGTTCTGAATAAGGTTGGGTATTGGTCCACTTAAGTTGTTATAACTTATCCTACTGTAGTAGAAAAGGAAAAACTGTTTGAACATGGCAAAAATTTTCAAACAGTGAATTGCCAGAGATAGAATATATGCTTACAAATCAATTAAATTTGTTAGCCTTGAAAATGATGCTGGCAGATTCCCAGTCAATTGATTGGCTGACAAGATCCTGTAATCAATTATTTGCGTATTATACTAAAATAGTCTGATGTTGTTTTGTCCACCATAAATCTATTATCACATTTGAAGCATATAATGCATAAGAAACGTGAAATCTTACAGAGTTTTCAAGTTTATTAATCTCCCAAGTTCTGATGGAATAGCCCCGGAGAATTGGTTTGCTTCAAGGTTCCTGATCGAATCTCACAATCAAATTACTTAAAAGTGTAGAATTGGACAAGTTATTATCTTTTCTAAAAACAAATACAAAAAACAAAGGGAAGTACAATAATATTTATTCCAGAATTAATGAGAAGTAAATCACAGATCCATCCCCATTTTTAAGATAAATATAAACTAATAAACTAATATGTAAATTGCTGTCAACTACATCAATCCTGGTGTTACCAGCACCTTACAAATTTTTACCCAATTACCAGGCTCCAATAACCAAATGTATCAATAAAACAATTAAGGGAAGTTCAATAGAAGACATACATGTAAGTGAGATTTGTCATGTTTGCTAAATACGTTGGTATTTGTCCTGATAACCGGTTTACAAGAACAGAGCTGCACCAAAATTCTGGGATTACAATCAGTTCTCAAAGAAACCATTAACTATTATAATTAAGCCGCAAGTAAAAAATGGAGAATACATGGAATTCAACTGTGTTGTAGCCCATTCTCGTGGGATTGTACCAGTGAAGAGGTTGTACGCAAAATCACTGTAAGCAAAATGTTAATTAAAATGTACATGAGTTTTCCATACGGCATAACGTTAAATTCAATAGAAACCAGATTAGGGGCCTCTTACATAAATTCGAGGTAGGGGAGCTGCACAAGTTCGGGTGGAAGAACTCCAGGGAGATTATAACCCTTTATCACACTGCAAAAAGTGGATATGGAATCAAGCATTAAGCTCCATATCAATATAGGAGAAGACTTATAACGGGACTATACCTCTTCAAAGAAAAATGGAAATGCAGATAAAATACAAAAAAGCACTGCCACGGAATAATATGAAATTCATGCTAGCTTTGCCTTGACAGTAATAATAAGAAAAAAAGCACTGCTCTTGACAAGCTGGAACTACTCAAATCCTTTTGAACCAATCACTATCCTCTAATGACTAATTGCAATGCGACAACAACTTTCCATTCAAAGGAAGGCAAGGACATCACAAATGATCATACATGGTCCATTCCACAAGTCCAAGCTCTTCACAGTATTAGTATCTACCCCGGGGCCTTACAAGCAGTTATACTTTATACTTCTCACACAACCAAGGTGATACCATGGTATAGCAGTGCCAAGAAATTTTCTTCATGTCCTGAATTAGTTAGGCCAGCCTCTTAAACAATTTACCATGTTTTAAGAAGCAATTAAAGCAAAACAAAGGATGACATGTTTACTAGACTTGGTTGCACCCACTTCAATTAGTCGTACGAGGTGGAGGCCAGAGCCTGTGCAATGTAGATGTGACCCATTGCTGAATTTATACTTATGTATGGACGTGAGGGTTTCACAAATAAACATGCAAGGAATTTATTTTCACTGGGATCTTACTTAGCTGTCTAAAAGTTAGGAATTTGGGGATTTCAGAGACTTTATTTCTGTTTGTTGTACTCCAGTTTATATTGATTGAACAAGATAAATCTTGTGTTACTTTCCGTTCTTTATATACTTGTTTTCATGCTTGATGAACAAACAAGTTTTACCAATCAACATGGATCAATCAAAGGTCTACAGTCTAATTAATGTGCAAGGAGATGATATTTGATTTTAGTACACAATGCTTTTATCAGTTAGTTATAAAAATAATGAGATCCCAAATTTATTAAAGTACTATTTAAGATATCAAAAGAGACGATACAGCTTCCGCATAAAACAGAAATTATATAGGAATTGATAAAGAGGAGGAAACTATACATTTCCGTGACATGGCAGACAGTGTTGTTATTAAAGTTGCAGTTACATTCAACATAACCCTCAGACGCACTTGGTGGCGATGGTACAACAGCCTCCACTTCACATGTATCACCATTGAAGCTCCAGTTCGTTGCGCCCATTGTAGTGACGATTTGTCGAAGAGCATTTACTAAGAGATGTCAAGGGGAATAGTATCAAAGAACGAATTATTGCATGAGCCAAACTTCCGACGGAGATAAGTATCAAACAATGATTCGTGTATTGCACGAGCCGAATTTATTATGGAAATAAGTAAGAAACAATCAATAGCATATTGCATGAGACCAACTTGGTAAAATGACCCTAAAATTTTCAATGTAAGCGAATCTCAACTTCATGACTAAGTTAAACTGTAAAGGTTACATGCCTAGATTATTTGTTCCTAACTAAAATATTATAAGGCTAATGAACAGAAGGCAGAAACTTCAAGGGATTTTTCTAATTTTAATGTTTAATATAGATGTTTATCTATATCAACTAAACGTTGGGAGTTCATAATTCTTGTTTCGATTTTTTGCCCATTTGAGAATCTCTATTTCATCAAATTCCTCGAGCAACTTCGCTCAATGTTTCACGATGAGGATTATATATGTAGTTTGGTTAAAGGTAGTAAACTACATCTTCTCAACCAACCCAAACCATATTTCCAGTACCTGTTTTTCTATTAGAATCCCACATCATAAAAGTATAAAATAAACAACCAAGAAATAAATTCAGACCTCTTTTAATGGCAAATTTCTCTCTGTTCACTAATATTTTATTCTTTTTGTTCTTAGAGACACTTTGAGAGAAAATCAACTGGAAGGAGGAATTTAACACACATCTGGATTCTCCTTCATTCAATTTTTCTTTCACGAACCGGAAAAATAACTACATGTTCGCAAAGCATGAGGGCAAACTCAACTGCTCACCTTCTTCTCGAGGCACCTTCGCCTGCGCCTGCGCCTCCGCAATGAAACAAAAAACTGCAAGAATCCACGAAACAACAGTGATTCTGCGCAGCATCTTTAACTTCAAGCACTTGAATCTTGTACAAACAGTACACAAACAAGGTGTAATTTTTACTGCTAGAATTTGATCCAGATTCCCTCTTTTTGTATGTATAAACCGTCAATCAACCGGGTGGATAGATAGATAACGAAAAGAATAACGGCTCAAACGGAAACCCAAAGAAATTTTTTGAATAATCTGTACAGTACTGTTGTACTTTGACTATTTTTATTTCAGTGGCACCCATAATATCATCCCATTAATATATATATAACTTTAACAGCTTTGATTTTTCTAATGTTAACGATAAGAAAACTATTTTTGGTTTCTTTCTTAGGTTGTCCGGTGATTAGATGTTTGCTTTAGTTAATTAATATCCACAATTAAATATATTTTAAAACTAGGATTGTATATAAAAATATTTAAAAAAAAAAAACAATTACATTTTGGATCATCACTTGTCAATTTATAGTAAACACATATCTATGGCACCTAACAACTTTTGAATGTTGAATATTATGCGAATGAAGTTCTAGTTGCTTCTTGCTTATTGATTTCTATTGATATAGCCTACCGAAATATATAACTATTTTTTCCTTGTGACTTTTCATAGGTAAGTCGAATTTAATTTTTCTCATCAAAATTTAATACGTAGAAAATTCATTTTAGTCGAAAGTGATAAGATTTGAACTATCTATTCCTAAATCGTGTTGAACAACTTGATTCAAAAGCTTCAAGATGATTGACAAGCTACATATGTAGCGTTTATATGATATTTTCGGAAAGTAATTTTCCAAAATATGTTTGACCAAAAAAAATGGAGAAATACGCGCCATTAATTTTTATCAATGGCGATCAATTTGTGATGTAGTATTAAACGATAAAACTAGTAAGATATGTCTAATATTTATACATTTAGCCTTTGTTTGTTTCCCATTCTTTTTTTATTAAAATAAAAAATATGACTGTTATCCATCACATCAAGTCATCAAATTTGAATTTCAAGATCTTGTGTGGGGTCCATAACGACTATATTCTTCATTCTCATTTTTATAAAAATGGGAAACAAACGTCCCCTTAATTGATCTTATTATTTCTTAGCATATCACATGTCACGTAGACCCTTAGTGATCCCTAATTGAGATAAATAATGTAATTCAAAATACTACCTTAATTTTTTAAAAATATATTAGTTTACTTTTATACATAACTAACTATGATAATAATATTTCATTGTCAATGTTATGCTGATATATACAATGAATGGTACTTAAAAATATTAAATAAAAAATAATTAAAAATGGTAATATTACATGCAAAATTTATCCTATAAATTTAATCAATCAAGCATATGATATTCATGTAGATCATATTAAAATGCATGTTACACAAACATCCAACTAAAAAATTTAAATTTTTTTTATGTTTCATGACTTTTTTTCAACATTTTAACCAAATCTTTTGTTGTCGCATTCGTACCTACCGGTTGATAATGGAGAAAGTTACACGTAAATGGTCATTTTGCTTTTTAACTCTTGTTTTTTGTTACCTTTTTTCTTTTCAATTCCTTAATCAAATTTAATTCTAATGTGATCATGTTTGTTTATTCCTAAACATATAAAATATTATAAATAAAAACGCATGAAATTTCTTGTCGGCTGCTTTCAAAGTATTTGAATTATATCATAAAAAAATAAAAATCTTTTTTCTAGTCCTAAAGGTCCATGGCACATTCCGTTAACAATGACAGTCTGTTTGAAAAGGATTTTTTACTCAAAAAAATAAATTTTTGGACCGTTATTTCGCTATTTCAGCCGTAATTTTTGACTTCTTCTCTCCCAGATTGATCTCACTTTTCTTCTAACGGTTAAAAAATCAATTCTCAAAATCCCTCCCAAACGGGACTTGAAAATCATATCTATTCATCCCAGTATGAAAATGGTTGAGCAGAGCTGTCTTTATGAAAATTTTGATTATTCAAAACCAAAGAATAGAACTGTAGACAGTAAACGGGAGACCGCTTGAATCAAAGCCAACTTGTCAACCGTTGAAATTTTTATATATCTTTACATGCAATCCTAACAGCTAGAGCATGTTTGGCTAAGCTTAAAAGGCTTATCTTAATTCCTAAGTAAATTTATGTACAAGTGATATGTTAAGGTTTGTTTCCTTTTTATGTTAGGAAACATCGTGCTTGCTTTCAAAGCTTGTAATTGTGTAGCATAATATTACTCCACGTCGAATAAAAAATAAATGGAAAGGGTTCAAGATAGTGTATAAGGAAGGATTCAATAATTCAGAATTGGAAAAATTCAATCGAGCTAATATGTTTAAAAAATTGCATAATTTTTTTTTCTAAATATAAAATTTCTTTTTTATACATAAAAATTTTTGGTGGACTGGGAATGATTTAGGCTAAAGTCCATGCCAGTTTCCTACATTTTGCCAGTGATTATATAAAGAACATTTAGATTATTAAAAGGAGGGATGTACAAAATAAGAAGCAAGGCCATCCTAGGGCCTCAAATATTTCATGGGTCTCCAAAAAAGGGTAGAATTTTTGTTAGGGAAAAAATCTCATATACCCATTTGAAAATAATAATAATAATAATTCTTGATATAATACAAATAGGATTTTATACTAAAAGAACACCAGAAACACTAATCCCTAATAATTCTGACAATTGATAGGATATAATAATGAATAATTCCATAGGCACAGGGAATTACTAACAGAAATAATATAGATGTTGTGTTGGTACAATTTTTATGTTTGTTATGTCAAAAATCAATGAAAATCTGTCAAGTATTTCTCTATAAAATTCTGTCAATTTTTTCTGTATTTGTAGCGAAACTAATTATTTTTTGAGTTAAAGGTTTCAGGGGAAGCGATACTTATAAAAACTAATAGAGTGACTGATGTATTAGATCATATTAAGAAAACGAACTGTTGTTTTAGAGATTCTTGGGTTGCTTATAGAATATTATTGATTATTTCCATCACTATTGCATCCATCGAAAGAAGTTTTTCAAAAGTTGAAATTAATAAAGTTTTATTTTCGATCAACTATGTAATGTCATAAGAGATGTTGGATGGAATAGCTATGATTTCTATCAAAAAACATATGTTGAAAAAAGTTGATTTGAGTTGTTTGATTAGTAATTTTGATCTCAAAACATGAGAGGCTAAATATTATGCTAGCCTAAGTCTCGGATTGTGAAAGATTTTCTTTGTAATGTTATTCATAAGCATGCTAATGATCAGCACTCCATATGGCAGTGAGATAGCTATAACATTTTTATATAAAATTGGAGTATATTTTAATTCATGGAAGAATGTGACATTAACCAAAAGAAAC